AACCTTCAGCATCCTTTCCACTTTGTAAATTAACCAGTAGGGGGCAGACGTGACCAAGCTATTTAATATGTTTCTATTTGCTATTATAAAGCAAATGAATTTGAGTTACAGTATGCCTTTGAAGCTAAAGGTATGTTTTTTTAAAAAATCGCATATCAAACAACCAAAAGCAAAAACTGATAATTTGGTTTTCGGTCTCTTTCATTTTTTTATGAGCTATCAAAGTCCAAGTCTTACCTTTGTTTTCAACTACAATAAAATTAAATTTACAATAGAGAGACATAGTAACTTACCAGTTTTTTGTTATACAAGATTGGCAATGTCCATCAGCACCTGAGTTTCTAAGTGCCTGCACTGATAATCTAGCTGTATATATTATCTACTTTAGCTCTTACAACATATCTATGAATAAAGTGTTACCATCATCTGTAAGATAGGAAAATGAGAGCCTTCTTAAAGTTCACATATTATGTAGCAGAGACCCAGTTTTGTCTAATTCTAATGTTTGTATATGATATCACTTCTCATTTTTTTCTGTTTTAATTATGAAACATATAATACATGCAGAAAAGTACATAAAATACAAATGTACAACTTAAAAATAATTATAAAGCAAAGATCCATTTTACCACCACCCTGTTCAAAACAAAGGATATTTTTAGCTTCTGCAGAACCACTAGGTGAGCCCCTGACTCTTCACAACCCCAAACCCTTGAAAGGTAATTACCATCATTTCCTCTCTTTTATTCAGAACTTTTGTGAGATTTATACAAATCTATTCATAATGTATAGATTCATTCATGTCTTTATCCTTTTGGTCAATATTGTATTTGCAATATTTACACTGATATATATAGTTATAGTTCTTTAATTTTCTTTGCTATATGAAACGAAGTACTCTATATAATATACCACAACTTATTATCTTTTCTACTATTGATGGGCATGTGGGTTGCTTCCAGTTGGGATGCTACTACAAAAATTCTTATACAAGTATTTTGATGCATACTTAAGTATCCTTAAGATATGTAACTGAGAGTCAAAATGCTAGTTCATTGGGTCTGTCTGCATAGTATGTCCTTTACTGGAAACAATCCAAAAGGAGTCTGTTAACAGATGAATGGATAAAGAAATGTAGTATATTCACAAAATGAAATACTACTCAGCAATGAAAAGAACTATTGTTATGTGCAACAGCACGGTTGAATCTCAAAACACACTGAATAAATGAAGCCAGACACAAAAGAGTATATTCTGTACAATTTCATGCATACAAATTCTAAAAAATGAAAAGTAACACAGTGACAGAATACAAACCAGTGGTTGTCTGAGGACCAGAACAAGAGGTAGAATAAAGAGAAGGGATTACAAAGTCACTCTGTCGTCTTTTTTTTTTTGGAGGCGGGGTTAGAAATATTTGTTATCTTGACTGTCAAGACTATTTTACAGGTGTATTCATGTGTCAAACCACACTCAATTTTACACCTTAAATATGTGTACTTTATATGTCAATTAAATTTCAATAAAAGTAAAAAAGAATCAAATTATTTTAGTTTGGAACTATATCTATATAGATATAGATGATATAGATATAGAACATGTTTCTTCTGTATTGGATATTTGAATTTCCTTTTTCTTTAGAGCACCTTCTCAAGTCTTTGGTTCATTTTCTTTTATATTTTAGCTTTCTTCTAGACCTGTAGGATTTCTTTGTACACCCTTTCATTAGTTCTTTGCTAATATGTTCTCCCACATTTTGCTGTGTCTTTTCACTAACTTAATGGGATTTGTTGAATATAAAAGTTACTGATTTCAATGTAGTTGAATTTTCAATCTCTTTTGAGATTAAGCTTTTTGTATCTGGTTTAAGAAATATGACTTAAGAAATATTCCCTTACCCCCAAGTCATAAAAGTACCCTTCTATTTTATCTTCTAAAAGCCTTTTAGCATTTAGGTACTTAGTCCAACTAAAGTAGACTTTTGTGTATGATGTGAGGACTTCGGTTTTATTTTTCCCCATATGGATGACCAATTGACTAGACCATTTATGAATTGTCTGTTGTTTTTCCATTCATCTGTAATGCTACCCTTATCATAGAACAAATGTCCAGACATGTTTAAGTCTGCTTCTGGACTCTCCATTCTGTTCCATTAATTTATTAATGCACCACAGTCAACTTACATTTCTTAATATGTCTCTTTATACATGTTTTCCCACTTTGTTCTTCAAGAACGTCTTGGCTATGTTTGACCCTTTACACTACTCTGTAAATTTTAGGATAATGTCAAATTCTTCATGATGCTACTTCTCATTTTCAATCTATACTTACAAATTGAAATATAGTATGTTTCCATTATGGAATCTTTATTATTATACAAAATTGGAAAGACCCAAAATCATACGTTTATTTCTATGTAGCTATAAATCAGAAAAATGCTTAATGCAACACATATGGAATGTATTATTGACCTATAAGGAGAGTATTAGAACTACCCATTAACATCACGATAATAGGATAGATGAGAATAAACTATCTTTACCTATGTGCAATAATATGAATCTAACAAATACACTATCTCATGAAAGAAGTCAGACCCAAAAGGGTAAATAGTGCATAATGTTATGTAAGGGATAAAAAAGGACAAGACTAATCTATGCAATTAGAAGTCAGAATAGTGGATATCCTAGGTAGCTAGACTGAGGCTTAAAGGGGACTTCTAGAATGTTCTGTTTCTTACCTGAGTTCTAGTTTCATGGGTTAAGTCTATCAAAATGTATTGAGCCATATAATTATGAACTGTGCACTTTTTATGTCTACACGTTACTTTAATAAAAAGCTTTTTAAAAGTAATTGTTAGTCATTTTAGACTTATTAATAAGACTTTCTTTATAATCTAAGTGAGAAACTAGATAGAAAACTTCCCTAACCCATAAGATACATATTGAGGTGCCTCTCCAGCTCAGTTAATCCAACAGTGGCCAGGTCCATGATTAACTCCCTTCTTCTAAAAACAAATCACTCTTCCTGGGAAAGTATGACTTAAGATGGGATGATCATATTTCTCTCTCTTCTGCAGATAAAGTGATTGTTCCTGGGGTAGGCATATGATTTGAACTAAATCAACTGCAGTCCTTTTTTGGATTATTTCACAGTGAAACTGGAAAAGAAAAGCCCTCTTCCTTTTTGGGTCACAAGACCGAATGAATGTCAACCTGAAGCTTGGATTCAAATGGCTTAAGATTTATGGAGAATGCTAGCCTGAGAGAATGACAGCAATAGACACGAAGAAGGAACCAGAATGTGTGTGCGTGTGTGTGTGCGTGCGTGCGTGTGAGTGTGCGTGCGTGCGTGTGTGTGCGTGCGTGTGTGTGAGAGAGAGAAAGAGAGAATAGCTTTTGAATCCCTAGATTCAACCATTTCTGAGGCAGTTAGGTTCAATCCCAGCCTTTTATATGGTTTGATTATTTTTTTATCATGTAATTCAGGTTGAGTTTTGTCACTTGTAACTAAAATAGTCATAATTGACAGAAAAATCAAATTATAGTCTTTGTCAGTTTTAATCCTCTCAAACTCTTAGGAATATTGTCACTTCTCGGAAGAGGGTTTCAGATATTAAACAAACAAAAAAAATGGCTTTAGGTTAAAGAATATAACATTAACTGGAGACCCAAAGAGAAGATCAAATACTCTAGAAATAAAACAAGAAGACAAAATTAAGATGATGTGGGTGAAGACCAGAAGACGCTGACAAATTAAAATAAACTTTTCCAAAATCACACACACACACTTAAGTTAAATTCAGGTTTTGTAAAAAGAAACTTTCAATTTTCACAGATACAGAACATAAATCCAAAAAAATTATGATCATTTTTTCCCACCACTAATGGCTTTAAGCCCACTGTTCCTCATTAGTTGCAGGTATTATGATTTTATATATGTATCTTCATCCCAGACATAAATAAAACATGTCCCTTCTGTTTCAGCTACTTCTCTTTTTCCTGTGTTTTCTTATTTCTCAATTTTCAATCTTCTATGATGAGATAAATATTATTAGTATGTGAAGGGTTCACATATTTTTTCCTTCTTTTACACACTTGATTATTCCTTTTCTTTGATCTCTGAGAAAAGAGAAACAAAATATTCTTATTGGATTATTTAGGGAAAAGCAACCAGAAGGAGGAGGAACATTGGGCTACTGGGGGGTCTAAGCCAACCAGCCCTGACTTTGGGAGTTAATGCTCCATGAAGAAGAAAAGACATGGAGAAACCAAGATGGTGGAATCAGTAGTAACCCGAGAGTTTCTTAGTAGTTTGCAAGTGAGAGAGAATAAAGAGGATATGATATTCTAATTTGATTTCTCACAGACTAAAATAAGATTTGAGAATAAATTGAAACTTCTGTCTGATCTTTGATTGAAACAGTACCGCATGTATTCTTGAGAGAATTTGAGAGAGAATACATGTAATGCTAAAATCTGAGGCCAGAAATATGAAAGGCACATACATCTACCTAGCACTGACCACATGGCATTAAGAGAAACTCTGAGGTGGGAGACATGTCAAAAAAGTCGAGGCAAAAACATAAGTCCCAAGAAAGCGGCAAGTAATCAAAGATCACATCTGATCAGGAACAATGCTGATCCAATTCATTTCTGGGTCCCAAGCAAAGAAGCATATTTTTTGAGAGAAGAGGGCAAGGATACAACTTGGGGTGTTCAGACAGTAGAAATGACAGAGGTGCCTCATTTCAAAGATTCTATTTTAAGACACGGGGGAATGAGAAGTAGTGCAAATTCTCTAGGGTGTACCCTAAGTGTGGGAAATCAGGAAATGTGAGGGGAAAAAAACACATCCAGCCAGTGAGTTAAAGGGTAGGACTACTCACAAGACAGCGACCTACAGTGACACAGTGAACTGCCACATACCCAATAGATAGATCCAAGCAGGGATAGCCATACAGGACACCTTCAAGCGTCGATACCACCAAATGCATCTACCTGTTTTCTCAAGAGGGAAATCCTCTAAGAAGTCATCTGCAGCCCACAGCATCTGTCTCGGGGCAGAGAGGATCAGAATGTCTTTATAGGGTCCAACTCCTACTCTGAAGTATAATTACTAACCACCAAGATGTCAGAAAGAGCAAATCCAAGTTCTCTGTGGACTGTCTCTAACTGCAATATAGAAACAGTGACAAAGACTATTTTAGGTCAATATATATTGTGAAAGCAATAACAAAAAACAGGAGCTTGGCAATAGTATTCCTGTTGGGGAAAATGAAGGTAGAGATCTGATCCCATAAATACTTTCTTAAAGAGCTTCACAAGTCAATCTCCAGTATCACTACAAATTTTCTTCAAGAATACACATAATAGATTCCATATGAATTAGAAATGAAAGGTAACTAATAGTTCCATATAGATTACTTTGAAACTGAAGCATTTTTAATACCCTTATGCTAGAGTCTGTAATTTCCCTGTTTCCTATTAAAAGTTATTCTCATGATTAGTCAAATTTACTAGACTAGTTTAATAATGATATTTTAATTCCTGCTTAGACTAATTTATCTGGGGAATGACACTGCCTGGGTTCAAAATAGGGCTCTGTTATTTCTTGTCACTGTCAAAAATACTGGCGAATGCTTTACTCTCTTTGCTTTTGTTTCCTTGTCTATAAAATGTGGTAATGACACAAGGTTGTTGTAAGTATTGAATAAGAAAATTTATCACATATTTAGTGCTCAACAAATACTAGCTATCATTACATCTTCCCAACTGGTATTCCCAAGTCCAGATTCCTTTTGACTCAATTCATTCTGCATGTAGGTAGCAGATTAATTTTTGTGAAGCTTCAGTTTGGTTATACCACTACTTCTTATAGCAGCATTATCTACAATAGCCAAATTGTGGAAACAGCCCAAGTGTCCATCGACTGATGAATGGATAAAGAAGATGTGGTGTGTGTGTGTGTATACACATACATATATATATGTGTATATATATATATGTATACATATATATATATAATGGAATATTACTCAGCCATCAAAAAGAATGAAATCTTGTCATTTGCAACAATATGGTTGGAGCTAGAGAGTATTACGCTAAGTGAAATAAGTCAGAGAAAGACAAATACCATATGATTTCACTCATGTGTGGAATTTAAGAAACAAATGAGCAAAGGGTAAAAAAAAGAGAGAGAGAGAGAGAGACAAACTAAGAGACAAACTCTGAACTATAGAGAACAAACTGAAGGTTACCAGATGGGAGGGGGTGGGAGGGATGGGGGAAACAGGTGATGGGGATTAAGGAGGGCACTTGTTGTGATGAGCACTGGGTGATATATGGATATGTTGAATCACTATATTGTTCACTTGAAACTAATATTACACTGTATGTTAACTAACTGGAATTTAAATAAAAAAAGAAGAGAAAAAATTTGCTATGATTCCCCATAATGCACCTAATTAAGTAAAGTCACCTCATGCAAATATAACTTCTTTATCTCCCCCTACAAGGATTCAGCCCTCCACTAAACTGAATGACCCCATGCTTCCCACTCACACTGCCTCTTCCTACACTGAGGTATTGACTTAGGCTATCCTCATAGCCTGAATTTTTTCCGCATTTTGTCTCTTCACCTCCTGAAATCCTCCTCCTCTTTGAAAGCTATTTCCCAGTGACACTCCAGGAATGAAATCTTCCCCATCCCCTTTAACACAATATTTTCCTCCTCTAAACTTTTGATTTTGAGTCTCTTCGTGAGATTTATCATACTCATACTCTGTTGATTTTTTCCTATCCCACCCCCCCATACCTTCACCTCCACTAATAAAATTATAAGCTTCTGAGTGCAGAGAAATTGTTTTAGTTTTCTGTGTATCTGGTTAGAGACTATCACACTGACTCAATTATGAAAGGCAATCAATAAATATTTGTTGAATTGAACCTATTTGGGTTAAATTATAATGAATGGAATGATCTGTGTCCCTGTAAAGATGAATATATATTTAATTTTTAAATCTTGAGACGTAAGTCTAAATTACCCAAGCAATTGTTTTAATTCTTAAGTTCAGTAGGTGTCCATTCAAAGAGGAACATCATTCATTACCTTGAGCTTCACAGGCATACATCTGTATATGTCTCTAAGGTCACCTCTTGTAATCAGATCCATGCTATCCACAAGAGTGAGCAAAACCACATGTGCTACACCTAGGCCGAACAGATCCATGTCACTTTGATCATTAAAGACAGCATCAGAAAGAAAGAAAGAAAAAAAGAAAGAAAGGAAGGAAGGAAGGAAGGAAGGAAGGAAGGAAGGAAGACAACATCAGTATGTTTCAGTTAATCAGCTATCAGTTATGCAACAGGCTATCTATGGAGCAATTTCAGAGATTTGGGAAGGCCCACCACCCCTAAAAATAGCCCGCTCAAGTACTCATCAGTACCTGGAATTCGTCTGACATAGGAAATTCCCTTCATTGCTTTCCATGGTAAGAAATGAGGCTTCAAATGACAACACCTCTTGGAAAAGATAACTAAAGAGATAACTATTGATGCTACAATATTGTTGATTGGTCTTCTGTCCTGTCCAAACAGTTGTTTTTATGGAGACTAGAGAAAAGAGATCTCATAAACAAGATGGGGGAGAAGAATCCTCAAGAAGGAAATAGCATGTGTCAAAGCATCACAAATACATTGCTCTTCTGTCACAGTTAGCAGGCAGCTCCCTGCACCCCTCCCTGGCAAAGTCTTAAATTTCAGTGAGCAAGTAAATCACTCCATGCTTCTAACTTAATCAAAGTTGTGATAAACTGGCTCTTTCCCAGACAGAACGGGTAATAAAGCCAAGAAAAGCCAGTATGGGGCACCCTAATTCCCTGATCCTGTTTACCTTCTCCAAAGCCTTTATGCTACCCCACCCTACCTAACATCTTACTTCCCTGCCGCATTTTCTTACTGAAATACTGTTTTCCATTTCTAATCATTTAAGGCCCAAGGGGAAATCTAGAACTTTTGGCAAATTAATTCATGTTAGGATACAGTGGTAGCAGGTAGTGAAGACTGTGTTAAACTCTTCAAATATATGGATTTGTTTAATCCTTATAATAAATTTCTGAGATAGGTGCTATTGTTATACTAATTTTATAGATTAGGAAACTGAGACATAGAGAGTTTAGGTCATGGCACGAAGTCATACAGCTATCAAGTACTTGATTTGCTTGAACCACACTGATGGGCCAGGGAAGATTCATATATGCAATTTCTCAAATTTTTCATCCTGTTCTAAAATCATTCTACAATATAGTCTAATTACCCTTAATAGCAAAGTGGAATGAGACTCACCACACTTTATCAACTCCCTTTGAATTTTTTTGATCTTCGCATCATGTCACAGGAGAGGTGTTCAACAGAGTTGATGTCGAACACAAATGCCACACAATGGATTCTGTCTTTCAGCAATGGGTAATCAATATAGTTACTATGACCTGGTGTGATTGGTTTTGTGGAATTAAACTGTAAGGTAAACATAAAGCAACATATTAATTCCATAGATATTCATGAGCACATATCAGACAGTGTGCAAGTCTCTGATATTATGAGGCTAACAATCCTGTAGAGAAGACAGTTTATGCAAGTAGCTAGCAGCCCATTCATGCAGTCAGGTGAAGTTTCTGCAAGAAAGGGACATGTAATCTGGGAGCTACAAAGTAGGGGGAGTTGGTCTGATAAAGGGAATGAGCATATGGACGGAAGTGTTCTAGATAGAAGTAATGTGGTGGAGGTGAGAGTGTTCATAAAGAAATCTGGTATCATCACACAGAATGTAAGGACCAAAAGTGGTTTGAGATGCATTTACTCTTGAACTAGCAATCCCTCTTGCTGGGAATCTGTCACAGGTATACTGGTAAAAATACAAAATGATGCATGTGCAAGCCTATTAACTTCAGGACTATTTGTAGTGGCAAGATTCTAATATATCAATAACATAGAGTATTTCGTGACTTCTCTAAAAAGAGGAGAACCACAAATCTGTATTTTCTTATGTAGTGAAAAAGGAAAGTAAACCATAAATTTTTATATGGTTGCTTATAAGAAAAGGGAAAAATGTATTTGAAGGGCCAGAGAAAGAAAATGGATTCTTTGACTATGCCTTATTTTGTAAAGTTGAATTTAAACTATATTTCAGTACACCAAAACTAATTGCATGTGGTTTGGGTATTAGTTGATTAGTAAGGGTGGGTTAGGTATTTGTCATCAGAGTTTTGGTGTACTTGCTATGATTTATGGATTAAATGTTATGATGTATTAAATTCGATTCCAAGTAATACAGGAAAGGAGGAAGTGGGTAGACACAGATGATGGGACATGAGTCAAAAATTGTTGAAGCTGAGTAAATGGCAATTCATTAAATAGTTTTGTCTACTTTTGTGTTAGTTTAAAATTCTCTATAATAAAGTTGTTTTAAAAAAAGAATATTTAAAAATAAACTTTACCTCCACAAGACGATGCTATACTAAAGAATGAAACGCCCTTGCATGAATAGAAAAATAAAACATACTGTGTTTCTGGATAAGAACACTGGATATGTGAAGATGTAAATCAAATTTTGATATAAAATTTTAATGTAATTTTAATCAAAGCACCAACAAATCAAACACAAACAATCAAAACACAAACAGGCTCACTTGGAAAAGTATATTGTGAAAATAGTCAAGAAAAACAAATGCAAGAAATAAATAATGAATATGACTTGTCCAATGAGGTATCAAAACATAGTTGATTGCTATGGTAATTAAAAAAATTAAATGATATGTTAATAAAAATAATATCATAAAGGAATTGGTAAATACATCAATAGAACAAACCAATCCCTATATTTGGTAGGGAAAAGATGCAAAGACATTCAATGAAAGATGCTGGCACAATTGACTATTCATTTGGAACAAAGTAAATTAATGATTAATTCAAAATCTAAATGTCTATAAAAAGGACTAGAAAGTTTTAAAAAATGACAGACTAAAATGGCTTTCTCTTTAATCCCCCATCCTCTTGCCTAGAACACAGACAGGGCTCAGTGTGAACATCTGGAGAGCATAAGGATGAAAGCCACACGTTTTAGTCAGCTTGGGCTGCTATAACAAATTACCATGTTTGGTGCCATAAAGAACAAAAATTACTTCTTACAGTTCTGAGGGCTAGAAAGTCCAAGATCAAGGTGCTAGCTGATTTGGTGTCTGATGAGAGCCTTCTTCCTGATTTGTAGACAGCTACCTTCTTGTGTCCTCATATGGCAGAGAGAAAGATCATCTCTCTCTTACCTCTTCTTGTAAGGACACTAATCCCATTCATGAGGGATTTACCCTCATGACCTGATACCTCTCAAAGGCCCCACCTCCTAATACCATCACACTGGGGATTAGGGCTTTAGCATGTGAATTTTAGGGGGACACAAAGCACCCCATACTGAGGGTCTCATAAGAGAAAGTGAGATGGACCTTTGAAATTGATAACCTCAGAGAGCTTCCACACTGACCCAAAGCTGCCTACATTCAGACTTCTGTTACATAAGAAAAATGACCTATGTGAGTAAATTGATGTATTGGATTTCTGTTTCACATAGCCAAAGGCAATTGAATATATAACAACATTCAGAGTTGTTATGACAGCTATGACAGAAGAGTCTTTTGGATGTTTTAATTCTTCATAAAATAAAATATCAAAAAGAAACAAATGACCTTGAACAAGAATAGTTCAAGAAAATAAATGGTAATGCATTAAATTAGACTAGTATCTGCTGTTGTCAATAGTGAGCAAAAACAAACATTTTAAATATCAGTTATAATTTCTCAATGATTAGCCCAGTCATACCTGGTATCTGTCAGAAATGTGGCCTTTTAAGATGTAGACTATGTCATCCATGCACAACCCTTTTTCCTTCTCACCCAGCCCCATTGAGTCACACAGAATAAACAGCAGGGAGTTGCCATCCTTCAGATCCTTAATGGAATATGTCCTGTACTACAAGAGGAGAAAAAAAGCAATTTTAAGAGTACATTTTTTTAATTGCAAACGGAGATAAAGTCTACATGGAATGAAGTTCATCAGCAAAAGACTTTTCAAAACTAATTAACTTGAACAAAGAAGCAAAGGCTGAGTAACCTTGAATGGACATACCTTGTCAGATACTCCAGTTGTATCAGAGCCCACCAGAGCCTGGTGCGTTACATGGCCTCGGAAAACAGACTTTACTGAGTTGAAAAAGCTAGACTTCCTAGCCCCATTTGGACCCAGGAGCAGAATCCGCATCTGGTGAACAAGGTCTCTGTGTGGTTTGTAAGTTTTCATGTCAAACAGTAATCTCTTGTGGAGTCTGTTTAGACAGGACAATTTTAACAATTGACTGAGGGTCGATCACAAGAGCTTACCATAAGTTTTCCTAGAATTCGTTTTCTTTTCTTATATATTATTAATTATTTTTGATTAGCAATTTGCTTTCCTGTTAAAAGGACAAGCAACTATCCTACTTCAAAACCTACTATATAAAAGAAGAAAAAAGCAAAAATAACACTTATAACAAAGCCAATCAGACATAAAACATTTCAGATTTAAGCAACCAGACACATATAAACCTTGTAATAAATATGAACCGTGTTAAGTATGAAGATAACTTATTAATAATAAACTTCAAAAAGCACAACATAACATGTGACTTTTGAAGTTTATGGAAGTAGATAATTTCTAACATGTTCTTGAAGTTCATGTAAGTATTCTCCACCTACCAGCCACCCCTTCCAAAGCAATTCCCTAAAGTAGTTGAAACTGTAACTTCAAGATGTCTAAGCAAAAATGTAGACATGCAGCCAAATAATTATTTTCCTTCGAGTATATAAAAACATTAGGAATGTTTTCCCTTTACTCAGCGTTCTTTCTGTTTTAACATTGGTATTATCAAATAGTCTTATGATTATAAATATAATTATAGTTTATTCTTGATGATCCACAAGTTATGTTATAATCTGTGCTACCAATTTGACAGAACCTATAAAAGAATAAGTCTAAGGTAATAAACAGAATAACAGAAGATTAAAACATTGACTTACTAAGTAATCCCTTTCATGATTCTTTCGTCCAATAAATCTAGGGCAATAATCAAAGAAAAATGAAAAGTACAAGTTGTTGAATGACTGGCTAACTGAATGTCAACGCATTCACTAGGGAAAAATACAGAAACAGCTTTTCCATGACAACAGCACAGTATAAGGAAAGCAAGTGGAGAAAATTCTGGCAAATCTCCTTAACATCTCATGTGGAGAATCTAGAGCTAGAGGCAAGATGGACACGGTAAAACTAGATTGTCCACAGATCTCTTCTCACACAATTACTCAGCAGTAGGATGTGGCTTGCTCCAACATAGGCAATGAAAACTGGGGTCCTTTCTGAATCAGAGAAGCAAGGCATAAAGGCGTGGACAGGCCAGGGAAAAACTGGGAATACTTTAAAATAGTTCCTCTCCATAATCCAAGAGGTCTGAAAGGGATAAGGTACAGAGACATACAAACAAGAAAAAAATCACAGGCACCAAATTCTCTCCAAAACCTACTATCTATAATTGGGGTTCCTGGAACTTCCAGCCCAATTGATTTTCTTTCTGGCTCCAAAGAGAATGTAGGACTCATCCCTCACCCAATCAGAGCACAGTGAGTGGTTCAGGGGAGGGCTGAGGACTTTATGTGACTCAGGCCCAGAATGACTTACTTCCTGTGAAGAAGAGACACTCTTTGGTGGTGGATTTAAAACTGAAAGGATCAGCTGCAGGGTGCCTGGGTGGCTCAGTGGTTTGAGTGACCAACTCTTGGTTTCCATTCAGGTCATGATCCCCCAGTAGTGGGATTGAGCCCAGGTGAGGCTCTGCGCCCCACGTTGGGCTCCATGCTCAGCATAGGGTCTGCTGTGGATTCTCTCTCCCTTTCCTCCCCCCACTCACTCACTCAGTCTCTCTCGCTAAAATAAATACATGGGGGCGCCTGGGTGGCTCAGTTGGTTAAGCAACTGCCTTCGGCTCAGGTCATGATCCTAGAGTCCCGGGATCGAGTCCCACATCGGGCTCCCTGCTCAGCGGGGAGTCTGCTTCTCCCTCTGACCCTCCTCCCTCTCGTGCTCTCTATCTCTCATTCTCTCTCTCTCAAATAAATAAATAAAATCTTTAAAAAAATAAAATAAAATAAAATAAATACACGTTAAATAAAATCTTAAAAAGAAAAAAAACCTGAAAAGATCAGATGTAGTGATGCTGGCAATTCTCTACACTACAAAATACTATGTGAAACATTTAAAAATATGGCTATACATGTGGAAAGAAAACCTCTTTAAATAACCGAAAGTAAAAATACTGAAGACTACATACAATGACTATAATAAAAGGAGAAAAGAATAAGTATAAACAAAGAGAAAAGCAACCTCTTGGAATTTTACAAAGAACTTCTTAACTTTAACATCCAAAAGGAAATTAAAAATCAAAATTCTAAATATAAAGAAAATAATAATATAAACACTTTATATCAACCTTGTGATAAAAGTACACTTGGCTAATAACAAGAAAGAAGGAAAGTTTTGAAAATAGAAACAGAAAAGAATATAGAAACAAACTTTAGAAATATAAGAGGGAATTAACAAAAATACAAGACACATTTTATAAACTGAAAAAAGGATAAATTAATATAGTAATTGGTTTAAACTGTAAAATAAATAAATTACTGACTAGTCTAATCAAAGAAAACCAAATTCACAAAATGTCATGCCACAGTTCACATACCAGAATGGCTACATATTGTAACAAAAAGTGTTGGAAAACTTTAAAAGTGACAGAAACTCTCATGCACTGCTGTGGCAGTGGAAATTGGTATGGCTACATTGGAAAGCTTTGTCAGTATCCACTGAAGCTGAACATACACAAATCCAATGACCCAGAAATTTTATATTTATATTCTTCAAAAAATATGAATGTGTGAACCAAAACACATGTACAAGAAGGCTTATAGCACTATTATTTGTAGTAGCCCCCAACTGGAAAACTCAAATGTCCAACAACAGTAATTTTATTTAAAAAAAAAAAAAAAAAGCGGGTTTTTGTTTTTTTTAAATAGCACCTGGGTGGCTCAGTTAAGTGTCTGACTCTTGATCTCAGCTCAGGTCTTGATCTCACAGTCATGAGTTCAAGCCCTGACTTGGGCTCCACACTGGGCATGAAGCCTACTTAAAAAAAAAAAAAAAAGTATGATGGAATCATTATACCGGCATCCTATATATGAAAATGAAAATGAACATCAATGAACATCAATGAAAATGAACAAATGACTCCAACACACATAATATGGATGAGTCGGTAGGGAGGTAGGGAGCTAAAGCAGCTGTCCTGAGATGCATTCATTCACTTTACCAAGTAACACTCAGGGAAAAAAAGAAAAGTGACCCAGCCTAATTTCTTTGAAAATATGCTAATGATCTTATCTCCAGGTAAATAGACTAATGATATTTCCTACAAGGAAAGTACTTATCTCTTGAATGTCCTTAACAGGATGCTCCTGGCTAAGGATTACTTAGAATAAATAAATATAGCTTCTATGGATTTATGAGGCATGTCTTCATGGGAATTGTCATGTGAGCTGATTGTCTTAGTCGGCTCAGGCTGCCATACAAAATACCATGAACTGGGACAACAGAAATTCATTTCTCACAGTTCTGGAAGCTGAGAAGTCCAAGATCACTGTGCAGCAAGGTAGATTTCATCCTGAAGCCTCTTCTCTCTCCTGGCAGGTGGCTGCCATCTCATTGTGTTCTCCCATGACCTCTCCTTGGATGTTTGTGGAGAGAGTGTGAGCTCTCTGGTGGCCCTTCTTATATGAACGCTATCCTATTGAATTAAGACCCCACTCTTATGACCTCATCTAACCTTAATTACTTCCTTAGAGGCCCCTTCTCCAACTATAGTCACATCGGGGATTAGGGCTTCAGCATGTGAGTTTGGGGTGGGGGGAGCACATTCAGTCTATAGCACTAACATATAAATGTTCCATAACGTAACCACTCTTCAATACGTAAGGTGGCCCACAAACTTCATAAAACAATCCTGCCTGTTCTTTTATCCAGAAAGCATATGCCTAATATGCAAAGGAAGGACCTAGAGCCACAAAGAATAATCTTGTACCCTTTCTGCCTTCTCTGAGATTTCTGATTGCCTTTATCCTTGAAATGATTAGTCAAACCTAATACTGCGTAAGATACCTGATTTGTAGAGGTCTGATTTTATAATCCACTCCCTTGTTTAGCTCAATCCCTCAAATGTAATATTGAATGTAAGAGGTCAGACACCCAAGAGTACATATTTTGATATGATTCCATTTATACAGAATTCAAAAAGAAGAAGTTATTAATGTCGACACAAGCCAAAGTAGTAGTTACCTTTGGCTGGTAATAACCAGGAAGAATCAGCAAGGAGTCTTTTGAAATGATGATAATAATCTATTTCTTCATCCAAGTAGTAGCTATATTAATGTGTCTAATTTATAAAAGTTTGTCAATTGGTACATTTATCAATTGTGCATTTCTCTGTTTATGTGTTATACTTCCATAAAAAGTTTCCTTAACTGATCCAGGATTGTCAACATCATGACATATCCAAGTAAATTGACCAGACATCAACAAAAAATTTTTTAGATGTTTGGGGCAGCCAGGAGGAAAGATCAAATCATTCAAAGGGGAAAAAATAAAAACATATAAGTAAGTCTGGCCCTAGGTTTTCCACAGCAACATCAATCCTGTAGAAACAGTACAAAATCCCCCAAAGAATTACATACTCTGATGATCATTCAAGTATAAAGACCACAGACAAGGAGTTTGGAACATGAAAATACTCAGGGGATATTATTCCTAGGGTCCCTTCCCTTAAATGGATAGACATAAATAACTATTTCAGAGAGGAAATGTAAATGGCCAATACACATAGACTTGCTAGTAATCAGCAAAGAAGAAAATGAGAAACCATCTTTTGACCATCAAATTGAAAATATTCTAAAGTTTGATAATATCAAACATTGGCAAGAAGATAAGGAAATAGGCATTTCTATAACGCTCTTGGGAAAGTATAAAAGAAGTATTTTTGTGCACAGTTATATTCACAAATACATTACAAAAGCATTGTTTATAACAGCAAATATTGGAAACAATGTCCTTTAGCAGAAAAATAAGTAAATTCATTTTGGTCTTTTAATATAATAGAATACAATGGGAAACTGCAGGATCTAGTACCAATTGAGAGAAGTTTGAGCTTTGGTTTCATTTCAAGAGAATCTCACAATCTAAGTTTGCTGCCCCTTTCTCTCTCTCTCTCTCCCCCTTCTCCTTCTACCTTCCCCCTCCCCCTTCCCCCACACAAACACACTCCAGAAAACTCTATATATGCTACTTTTGACCACAGTTGGGTCTCAGCAAACAGTGTGTGGCCAGGTTTCAGTCTTGGTCACCCAGAGGTAAGGACATTCTTCCTTAAAGACATGGGTTGCCTCAAATCCGCCAAACATTCAGTAGAGAGCTCTATATAAGATTATCTGATTAAACCTACCTTCACAACGAAAAACTTCACATTCCTCAAAGGAAATAGGTTGATTTTGAAGTAGTCCAAGTTCTTTAATTGCATCTAAGTTCATAGTCACTTTTTTTTTGCTTTGGATTAAGGAGGAATTTGAAACCATCCCATCCTTTATGATATTCATAAAGAAATATAGATGGTGAATATGTTCCTATATTGCATTCTGAAATTTCATTCTCTTGAAAGGCAAGAAGGACAATGGGAACTTTGTCATCTTTCTTGTAACTCTTTTTTATGTAGGCCCCCAAAACATAATGTCCACCATAAATCACCATCACAGTAGGCCCTTGGTCACAGCATTTCTGTCCAAATTATGTCCAGAGAATTCATGGACACTAGGTTTATAGAGAAGGGTAAATTGTTTTCCTCCAAAATAATTTTGCAGCTTCTTTTCTTGCATCCCCGTCAAACGAGGTGTCACTGCCATGCTTCTCAATCTAGCAGAAAATCAAATATATTTTCCATTAAATATTGAAAAACAGGTAACATATACTGTCACAAAGCTTGCATTTCTGCCTCTTATTTACTCTACATTACACATAAGATGAGTAAAAAGAGGATGAGCAGATAGCATGAAAAATCATTAACTAGTTTTTCATTCTAAATGATTTTTTTTTTAATTAAAAAGGAAGACTACTATTTGCAAGTGGCTAGGAAAAGTGGAAAGCAGCAAGTCACTTACCTGTTTGTAGAACCTGTACAAGGACTGAGGCTGAGTGTAGCTGCTCTGTCTGGACAGCTAAGCAGACACAGAAAATTCTTCAGCAATCTCCATGGTTCAGGGACTCTGAGAAAAGGAAACTGAACCATAGTAAAGGCCCAGCCCACATGGCCGAGTGCCAGCCTCCACCTGCCAGGGAACAGGAACTGAACCAGTTAAGTTTTCACAGTCGAGTCAAATAAAAATATTAGGAGAATAAAAGAATTGAAGTCAGAGAGAAGAAAACCTCACAGCTCACTAGATTTTTAAGTGACTTCTTTAAAGAAAAATTCAGTTTCTGTATGTCGAAATACAGAAAAACTGCTGTCAAGTCCAACTCCAGGACACATGCCTCAAATTCATCCACTTCTCTGCTGTCAACTTACTCTCATCAGGGTCCTGTTTTCTGTGCTGCTGGGGGTCAGGCCGATTTCAGCAAAACCCACAGATTTCTGACAATCTATGACAGAGGAGCCGCGATCCCAAACAGAGAATCAACTGACGTAAAACAGAAGTCTTTTGGAGATCAGCAGGTGTTGAGGACCATGTCACCACCATCTGAACACCCTGCCATGGTCAGGTCCTCCCACTGTTCCCTGACTTAAAAGAGCAGGAGATTCTTTCTCATTTTGCAGACCATCTCAAGAACTCAGACTGAAGCTGGAGGGCCTAACATCGCTCGGCAAACAGCCATCACTCCACTAAGGAAACCAGGAATCTTCATGTTTGATGTATTGCTTGTATCATCAATGGAATGGGAATAAAAAAGGCTTAGCTCCTTAATAATAAAGAAACAAGACATGGAGATGGTAGAAGACATCATTTGGTAGTCTGTACTTAGCTCATCTTCTTCTAAGAGAGCCTGTAGAATTGGCATTGAAGACACAGTTTCAAACCTGCTTCTCATTCCCCTACACACACAAATAATCCAATAATTCAGGTAGCCCTTGCTCATAAATTGTAGCATTTGAATAAACAAGCACCTTCCAGAAATTAATATTCCCAGCTCTCCCTTCCTTGAGCTTTTGGAAGACACCACCCCTCACATGAGCTCAGAGGTGTGATACGTCCCATCTAAAAACCTGTGTTGGAGGGCGCCTGGGTGGTTCAGTTGGTTAAGTGTCCAAGGCTTGATTTCAGCTCAGGTCATGATCTCAGGGTGGTGAGATGAAGCCCCACATGGGGCTCTAGGTGGGGCATGGAGCCTACTTATGATTCTCTCTCTCTCTCTCTCTCCCCCCTCTCCCTCGGCCCCTCCCCCTTCTCCCTGCTTGTGAATGCGCATTCTCTCTCTCTCAAAAGAAATCAATTGTTTTAATAACTTTGACAATTATATTTACACACCATTATTTAACATAGCTTGTTCTTCTTTGCCATCTCCACCCCCATTCCTACAATCTCTACCTGCAGTTTTGCTTCCACTGTCATTCCTATCCTGGAGCCTGGAACAGCTCAAATCCATTGTGTGAGCAATGGATATTGGCCATAATCCTAATTCCATTGTCTGGCTGACCCCAGTGGTCTGCATTTTCTCCAACTCAGAACAAGATTTTGCAAAGATTTGCAGCTAGTATGCAAGTTTCCATCTTGCTCAGATTGATGGCAAAAATCAGATCTACTTAAATCTGCTCTCTATAAATTGGCCCAGAGACTCACCACATTTGGGATGGGATTTGGGAACTTCCAAATTCTCCCAGCTTTTACAACACCAATGAAGACTTCAATCAGCTGTGCTATCAAGTAGCTACTTCAGCATCAGATTGAGTTTGGTCACTTCAAGATGATTACTTGTCAGCTGGTCTCTGAAGCATCTGGGGGCTTTCTTGAGTCTCTCAATCAGTTTTGTTGTATTCAATATGAACTTGCATTTTTTATGAAAAGCAACATATAATCTTTAAATTTAGCTTTCTAAAAAAGACACAGGCTTACACATCACCCACCGTAATACTCCTCTCGGTATTTTATTAAATAGGTGGATGCTGGCTGAATTTGTACAACGCTACAAACTTTTGTCAGAAACAGCCACTTTGACTTTATTTTTTTTCCAACTTTATTAAGATATAATTGATACAAACAGACTCTTACCTATAGATAACTGATGGTTGCTGGAGAGGAGGTGGGCGGGGGGATGGGTTAAATGGGTGATGGGGAGTAGAAGGGCACTTGTTGTGATGATCACTGGGTGTTGTATGTAAGTGATGAATCACTAAATCCTACTCCTGAAACTCATTGTACACTATATGTTAACTAACTGGAATTTAAATCAAAACTTGAAACTACCAAAAAAAATTAATTAAAATAAAAATAAAAATAAATAAGACTGAAGAAAGTTGATTGTTTTCAGACTTCATGTGTTACTCAAGAACCAGTGGATTTTAATACCAAATAAATAAATAAAAATCCCCAGAAAAAAAACAAACAAAAAGATATAATTGGTATATAAAATTGTGTAAGTTTAAGGTATTCGATGCAACGATTTGACACATGTATATATTGCAAAATGGTTAGCACCATAAGGTTAGTTAACACATCCATTACCTCAAATAATTACCTTTTTTGTACATGCAGTGAGAACATTTAGGAACTACTCTCCCAGCAACTATCAAATATATAATACTGCATTGTTAACTACAGTCACCATGGTGTACATTAAATTCCCAGGACATTTTCATCTTATAACTGGATATTTGTACCCTTCAACCAACATCACCCCATTCCCTTCACCCCTCAGCCCCTGGCAACCATCATTCTACTCTGTTTCTATGAGTTTGGCTTTCTAAGATTTCACATATAAGTGAGATCATGCAGTATTTGTCTTTCTCTGACTTATTTCCCTTAGCATAATGCCCCCAAGGTCCATCCATGTTGTCTCAAAGAGCAGAATTTCCTTTTTATGGCTGAATAATATTCCAGTGTGTGTGTGTGTGTGTGTGTGTGTGTGTGTGTGTGTAAATGTATATACCAAATTTTCTTTATCCATTCCTCTGTCAGTAGACCCACTTAAATTCAAAACAGTCACTTTTTAATGCCACAGCCCACCCCACCCACCCACCCACCACACAAAGTCTCTAGTATTGATGCTTAAATTGTCTACAACATCCCTCTCACTTTAGGTGATATTCTACCTCCCACTACATTTATGCTTTATCCACTATGTCCCTTAGCACTGTTATGGTAAAAAATAGTGACTTTGGCTGTACTGTACTTCTAGCTCAAATTTAAATTATGTAAACTTTCAAAAATCCTGGATGGCCTCTAAAGTGTGGCAAAGTGGTAAGTCCTACTGTTAGGATGGTAAAGAAAGATCAGCAGAATCCTCAAAGTCAGGAAAGGTCCTTTCCCAGATAAAAGAGATGTCTCTCCCTTTTTGAGGCACCCTTCACCATTCCTTTCCAGCCTAACCCCCAAATATACATTTAATTCCATTAAAATGTTTAATTATTCCCAAAGTAGTACAGCATTAGAGGATTAGGAATTGTGACATCCTTTACCTAACACTGTCCTTTGTAATACAAAAAGGGAAACTTAGCCTCAATATTTATACTCTCAAATGATATTGATTCACCTGGACAGTCCCTCATTGTTTATCTCTCCTGATCTCTCCATTACTCCTCTTCCTTTCAAGGTCTCCATCTCCTGCATGAGGGTATTCTACACTACCCCTTCAAACAGAGTAAAGAAGTTCCACCTTGAATCTAATTTGGCATCTATCAAAACCTTACTCCGCCCAGCTTTTTGCTGACTCCACCTGGAGATTGATGAGTTATGGCCTTATAGGTGGTGAAGCACAGTGGTGGGTCTTCAATTACCTTCAGTCTTCTAATCAACAATGGGTGTGGCTTGTTTTTATCGTGGATTACATGGAGACAAACCCATCTTACTTTTTGGACTTGTTGCTCCCTACATCCATTTCATAATCATCCTGGCAGGAACTCTACTTTTGTTTCCAATATCTACTTCTGGCTCTACTCTTCAGTATCTGTGACCATTCTATTCCTTCTTTTAAAGACCCCAGCCATCTCTTCCACTGAATCATGGCTCCTGAACATTCACTGGAGCACAGCTTTACCTGTAGCTTTGCTTTAGAAAATAGTTCTTTTTCCAAAACTATCCCTAAGTAATTCTTGCCCTCATCATACCCAAGGCTTGCCAAAGAAGACAATAATTCTGACTAAAAGTATATTAGATGGCTTTAATATAGATAACTATTGAACCAAACATATTCACTTGAAAAATACTAAGAAATTGGAAGAAGAGAGTTAAGGTTTTAGGGGGAAAACCTAAAACCTATCTTCTGAAATTCTTTTTTTCTTTATTAATGGTCCTAACTTCTACAGCTACCCAGAGGAATTTAAAATCATTTGGGGGCACTTGTATAAAATAACCTTCTTATTGACTTGTACTTGTAACCTCATTTGATCACTCTGCTTGGGAGACATGGCTAGGATGGTTTGGAATTCAATTAATGAAAATCAGGTACGGGTTCATTAAGGGAAGAAATTTTGTTTTTTCACAGAAATAACACATAAGTCCTTAAGAAATATTTGTTCCTTTTAATTAGTTTAAATTCATATCTTCATCCAGAGATAAGTGAAACATTCTCCCTCCTCTACGTTCATTTCTTCTCTCCAGCATTTCATTCTCTTCCAGTCTTCCCTTCTATAAGGAGAAAAATTTTGAGTACATGTTATCAGTCTGGGAAAGTTGGGAGGGATGCATAATGGCAGGCATGCTTGCTCGCTATTAGGCACTGTGCTAAGTTCTGTGAATACAAAGGTATGTAAAATCCAAACCCTGCTTCTTAAAGAACTCACAATCTAGGGAAGTGGATATCCATGTAACCATTTTTAAATTGTTATTGAAAGTATTAGTACTCACATAGAGTTCTAAATAAAGTGCTAAAGACAAATAAGTAAGAGGATAGTCAATTTTGCTGAGAAGATTGAGAAAAATGTCACAGAAATTAAAATCTCAAATGGTAGTTTGTGGTAGGGCATATCTTGGCCCACCACTGCTCAGGGTTGACCTTTGAGCTTGAGGTATGACTGATCCTAGAAGAAACCATCAGTTAGATGCTCTCAGGGACCAAAGGCAAAACATGAATGAAAGCAGAAGTCATAAGGAGGCTGTCAGCAGAGACCGACTCTCATCAGGGCCTGCCAATCCAGGACTGGACCAAGTATCAGAACCAAGGTAACTGATGGAACATGGAGAGCTGGAACATTCCTACAATTTTGTCTGAAAACAAAATAAAAAAGAATAGAAACAAAGCACATATCCTAACATGGCTGTCAGGTCTAGAGCAAGCTGATGGGCATCAGCCATCCAGTGAGGTAGAACTCTGGGATTTTCACAAAGCACCATGCTTTATGAGAGGGGCATAAGGGGGCCAGATCACCTGTTTCCTCAAGGCAAGTCCTCAAAGAAGTCCTCTGCTACCCGTAACATCTGCCTCAGCACAAAGAGGATCTGAGTGTCCTTTAAAGGGTCCAGCTCCCACTCTGATGTATAATTTTCAACCACAAAGGTATTATAAATAGGAACATTTAGCATTTTGCTGACATGCATTATCTGTGGAAAAATTAATAAGCATAACTCATATCTGAAAATTGACTGAATTCAAATATAATTCAGGAAACTGAAAAAGCAATAGCTTGATAAGTAGTTCTCTTCTGAATATAATTATAATGTAAATAATTATTGTTTTAAAGTGGGACATAAACTTGAATTAACCAAGCAATTGATCCATGTCTTCGTTTACCTGTGAATATGTAGTATGAGCGTGCACACATGCACACACACATGCACACACACATACTATAACACATTACAATAATGCCTAGTTAGACATATATTCTTTACCTGGCTTTGGGAAGTCATAGGTTTATCCATGTTTAAAAAGTTGTCCTGAAGAAATTCACTGCAAGTAGTCGCTTTAGGAAGCAAGAGGACACATGCTGTACCTATATCAAAGCGATAAATCAATTCTTTTGTATCATAAACAGCAATGTTTCAACACAGTAATTAAGTATGAGTGAAAGCAGCTCTCCTAAAGAATGAAATAACCCTAGTAAATGTCAATATAGAACCTGAAGTTCTGCTAATAGGAGAAATGATCTTTCTCTTCCAGCACGAGAGATCATTTCTAAATGCAACTAAATTCACACTGCATTGCAATCATCTACTATTCCAAATAGTGTGTTTTAAAGTGATCGGGGGAGCAGGGGGAAAGTGGTTGCTGGACACTAAGGACTGAAAAAGAACCCCAGAAATTGAGGAAGGTTATGTGTGAGTATTTGTAAAAGCAAAGCACACTGATTTCACAGTTCTACTAAGGACCCCTTGTCCTCTCCCAGTTGGCTTCTAACCGAATCAAAGTTCTGCTTTACTAACAAATGCTTCCCCAGGAAAAAATATAAAACTGAGATTTCCAAATGCCATTCAAGGATACCCCTGAGAGACTTCTTTACCAGAGCTTTTAGTATCTTCCCTTTACATATATCTTGTGTTTGTGATCCCTATTATTAAATGGTTGCTTTTATCATCTTCCTTTCATCCAAGTCCCAGAAGATTAATTAGCAAGGTTGGCCAATTAAATAAAACCTGGTTTGTATAGAAGGCAGTTCTCAATCGACACATATAATTTCTTTTCAACTTCTGCTAAAATGGAATTCTTCTCTTTCAGAATTAATGCAAGGTCTTCTTAGAGGCTCTAAATCAGCCCAGTTAGATGAACAAAGCCTTGCCACCCAGCATGGGGTGTGGCCAGATGTCCTTGAAAAACATCATTTCCCAAACCTTAGCACTTTGTAACTCAGTCTTATCCCAAACCCAGCATAATTTCAGAGCTGTTACATGCTTACACAGACAGTCCCTGACTTCGCATGGTTCAACGTAAGATTTTTTGGCCTCACAATAGTGCAAAAGCATTACGAATTTGGTATAAACCATACTTCCAAATTTTGAATTTTGACCTTTTCTGGGGCTAGAGATATGAAGCATGGTATTTCTGTCAGCCGTGTGACCACAGGGTAAACAACATAAACTTACAACCATTCTGTGCCATACAACCATTCTCTTTCTCATTTTTACTATAGCATTCAATAAATTACATGAGATACTCAACACTTTATTATAAAATAGGCTTTGCGTTACATGACTTTTCCAGCTACAGGCCAATGTATGTGTTCCCAGCATGTTTAAGATAGGCTATGCTAAGCTACAGTGTTGGTAGGTTAGGTGTATTAAACACATTTTCAAGTTACAATAAGCCCATTGTAAATTGAAGTAGATCTGTATATGCTTATACTTACACTGAGTGCATCTCATGTTTATTACAATATTTAGATTCAGAACTTATTCCCAATATATAGGAGACTAAAGTTCAGTGCACTTAAGTTAACTTTCTCAAGATCAAATTATGACTATTAAAAATTCTAGATTTACTTAGTCAATAAGACAATCCTCTGTACATTAAGCTGCACAGCTTTTCTGTATCGAGTGGTATTTCTATTGATATACTAAACAAAAGGCTCTAGAGTATAAATGACCAACAATTCTCTTTTTTAAATGTCTTTTTACCTTTTGGCCACCTTCATCCAACACCTATCTCTCCCACTCCCAAACCCCCACCTCTGGCAACCATTGATCTGTTCTGTCTATGAGCTTGTTGTTTTTTTCTTTTAAATGTTTCACATATAGGAGAGATCATACAGTGTTCATCTTTCTCTGTCTGACTTATTACACATAGCATAATGCCCTCGAGGTCCACCAATGTTGTTGCAAATGGCAAGATTTCATTCTTTTTTATGACTGAATAATATTCCTGTGGTGTGTGTGTGTGTGTGTGTGTGTGTGTGTGTGTGTATACACTTCCATCTTCTTTATCCATTCATCCATTGATGGACAGTTAGGTTGTTTTTATATCTTGGCCATTGTAAATAGTGCTGCAATGAACATGGTGGGGGAGTGCATATATTTTTTTGAGTTAGTGTTTTCATTTCATAGGGTGTGGCCATGAATAAATACCCAGAAGCAGAATTGCTGGATTGTCTGGTAATTCTATTTTTAATTTTTTAAGGAACCTCTGTGCTATTTTCCATAATGACTACACCAATTTATATACCCACTAATGGTGTACAAGCGTTCCCTTTTTACCACAACCTCACCAATACTTGTTATTTCTTGTCTTTTTTATAACAGCCATTCTAGCAGGTGTGATATGATAACTCATTGTGGTTTTATTTAGCATTTCCTTGATGATTAATAATGTTGAGCATCTTTTCAGGTACCTGATGGCCTTCTGGTATGTCTTCTTTGGAAAGCTGTTTACTCATTTTCTGCCGATTTTTAATTAGATTGTTTTTATGTTTTGTTTTGTTTTGTTTTTGATTGGTATGAATTCTTATATATTTTATTTTTTAAAGATTAATTTATTTATTATAAGGAGGGAGAGCAAGGTGTGGGAGAGGGGCAGAGAAAGAGTGGGAGAGAGAATCCTCAAGTAGACTCCCCGCTGAGCACAGAGACCAACTTGAAGCTCTATCCCAGGACCCTGAGGTCATGACCTGAGCCAAAATCAAGAGTTGGACGCTTAACTGACTGAGCCATCCAGGCTCCCCTTTATATATTTTAGATATCAATCTCTTATCAGTTATATGATTTGCAAATATTTTCTTCCAGTCAGTAGGCTGCCTTTCTATTTTGTTGATGGTTGCCTTTGCTGTGCAGAAGCTTTTTAGGTTGCTGCAGTTCCATTTGTTTATTTTTGCTTTTGTTGCTTTTACTTTCAATGTCAGATTCAATATATCATCTCCAAGACCTACAGCAAGGAGCTTACCACCTATGTTTTCTTTTAGGAGTTTTATGATTCCAGGTCTAACATTCAAGACTTTAATCCATTTTGAGTTAATTTTTGTGTATGGTGTAAGAGAGCGGTTGAGTTTTATTCTTTTGCATGTGGCTGTCCAGTTTTCCCAACATCATTTATTGAAGAGATTGTCTTTCCCCACTGTATATATTATTTGGCCCTTTGCCATAAATTAACTGACCAAAATGTGGATTTATTTCGGGGCTCTCTATTCTGTTCTCTCGATCTATGTATCCATTTTTACGTTAATACCATACTTTAAAAATCACTATGACTTTGTAATAGACTTTGAAATCAGGGAGCATGATGCTTCCAGCTTTGTTCTTCTTTCTCAAGATTGCTTTGGCTATTTGGGGTCTTTTGTGGTTCCATACAAATTTTAGGATTGTTCATTCTATTTCTGTAAAAAATGCCACTGGAATTTTGATAAAGACAGCATTGAATCTGTACATTGCTTTGGAGAGTATATGCACCTTAATAGGAATTCTTCCAATCCCTAAGTACAGAATATCTTTCTATTTATTTGTGTCTTCTTCAATTTCTTGCATTAATGTCTTATAGTTTTCAGTATGCATGTCTTTCACCTCCTTGGTTCAATTTATTCCTAGATATTTTATTCTTTTTGATGTAAAAGACTATTTCCTTAATTTCTCATTTTGCTAGTTCATTATTACAATCACAATATGGTGGTGAGGTCTCTAGGTTTTCTTTTAACTCCATAAATCCTATATTGGCTGCTGGAGAAGTGCACCACTAGGGAAAGCCAACTGGAGCTGGTGAAAGGAAAAGGAAAGAAAGGAACAAAAGGGGAAGGGAGAGGAAAGGGAAGGGGGGAGGGAAGGAAAGGAAGGAGAAGTCAGGAAGTCTGTTGTCTCTTGCCAAGCATGAGAAAAAGAGCAACCTAGCAAGACAGAAAACTTTCACACAAGAGCCACACTATCCCAGCCAAACTCCATGAAAGAGCCTCAGTCCCATCCACAGAAGTCTCTTCCCTTCTCTACCCTCTACACTCTGCCAGGACAGTATCATAGGAGAAGAATGGGTAGGGAGCCAGGACTTTTATACCTGTACTGTGCTAGGTCCCTGTTGATGGTATCAATGGAAGTTCCTTGGGGATCCTGGACATCCACCCCCACCATCAGCAATAGGGTGCCCCTCCCTCCTTACCAGGGTCCAAGGAGGCCAACTGAGAAAGCGAAACTATAATCACCATTCCCCCAGCTTTAAGGAGACTCCTAGCCTCCTTTGGTATCAGTGAAGATCATATGGGGAGCAATAACAAAGTTCGCTTTCCCCCAGAGGTGTCAACCAAGGCCTAATGGGGAACCTGCACTTTTACTTCCAAAAGCAGAGTGTAATAAGAGGTCTGCTAAAACACAAGATTTAAATAAAATCCAGGGGCACCTGGGTGGCTCAGTCAGTTGAGCACCCAACTCTTGATTTTGGCTTGGGTCACGGTCTCAGGGTCTTCAGATGGAGCCCTGAATTGGTCTCTGCACTTGAAGTGGAGTCTGCTTGTCTCTCTCCCTCCCCCCACTTGTGCTCTCTCTCTCAAATAAATAAAATCATTTTTTAAAAAGAAAAATAAATAAATAAGATCCAGGGTCTCATAGTATAATACCCAAAATATTAAAGGTATAATCAAGAATCACTTGCCATACCAAAAACCAAGAAAACCTACCTAATCAACATTTGTAGAACATACACATAATTTTCAAGTACCCCTGGAACATTTACCAAAATATAATACAGACTAAGCCATAATTTAACTTCAAAAACAATTTAAAGAATTTAAATCAGAGTGTGTCCTTTGACCATAATGGATCAAACTGTAAGTCAATAATAGAATGGTAACAAGAAAAACTCCAAGCACTTAAAAACTAAATAATACATTTTAAATAATTCATGAGTCATAAAGGAAGTTTCAAGGGAAATAAAAAATACATTAAACTGGAAGATAATAAAGATACAACATATCAAAATTTGTGTATATAACTAAAGAAGTGTTTATAGAAAAATATGTAGCACTCAATGCTTATAATAGAAAAGAGGAAAAGTCCAAAATCAACAATCTAAGTCCCTCCCCTCAAAAACCTAGAAAAAAGAAGGCAAATTATATCCAAATCAAGAAGATGAAAGAAATCCTAAAGAGCAGAAATCAATGAACAAACTGAAAACAGGAAAACGATTTAAAGTATCAATGAAACAAAAACATGGTTCCTTGAAAAGACTAATAAAATTGACAAACCTTTAGAAATAGTGACAAAGAGAAACAAAAGACATAAATCACCAATATGATGAAGGACACAGGGGATATCCCTACAGACCCCACAGACAGAAAAAAATAATAAGGAAGTGCTATGAACAATTCTACACACATAAATTTGACAACTTAGATGGAATAGACTGAACTAAAAATTACAAACTATCCCAACTCACCTAATATGAAACAGATTATTTTAATAGCTTGCTAACTATTTTAAAATTAAATTTTTGGTATTAAAAACCCTGAAAAAGGGGCACCTGGGTGGCTCAGTCATTGGGCGTCTGCCTTCGGCTCAGGTCATGGTCCTAGGGTCCTGGGATCGAGCCCCACATCGGGCTCCCTGCTCTGAGGGAAGCCTGCTTCTCCCTCTCCCGCTCCACCTGCTTGTGTTCCCACTCTCGCTGTATTTCTCTCTGTCAAATAAATAAATAAAATCTTTAAAAAAAAGAAAAAAAAACCTGAAAAATAAATCTCCACTCTAGATGATTTCATTGAAAAACTCTACCACAGATTTTAAGAGAAATTAACACCAATTCTTCACAATACCTTCAGAAAAATGGAAGAGAAACTCTTCCCAACTCATTTTATGAAGCCAGTGTTACCCTGACACCAACCTGACAACAGCAGGAAAAAAAAAAAAAAACTACACTACAGCTCAATATCCCTCATAAATATAGATAAAAATATTTTAATAAACTATTATCAATAATATTCCATAATATGTGAAAAGAATTATATCATGATTACATGGGTTTTATTCTAAAGAGACAAGGCTGGCTCGAGATTAAAAAATCAATGTAATCCAAAAAAAAAAAAAAACAAACAAAAAATCAACGTAATCTTCCATATTAAGAAAGCAAAGATCAATTTCATGATTACATCAAACTGTGGGGGAAAACTATTTGATAAAATCCAATACCCATTCATGATAAGGAAACAAAAACTCTCAGAGAACTAAGAATAAAGAACTTCCTCAAACTGACAAAGAACAACTATAAAAAATAACCTATAGCTATCTTTGTAATGGTGAAACACTATTGAATACTTTCCCCCTAAGATCAGAAACACCACAAGGGTATGTGCTCTCACCACTATTATTCAACATAGTACTGGCCAGAACAATATGACAGGAAAAGGAAATAAAAGGCATGCAGATTAAAAAGGAGTAAATTATCCCTATTTAAAATGGCATGAAAATCCCAAGGAATAAAAAAAAAGCTTTCCTAGAACTAATAAGTGAGTTCAGCAAGATCACAAGAAACAAGATCTACATACAAAATTCTATTGTAAATTGATGTACCAGCAATAAGCATTTGGAAACCAAAATTACAAATATGATACCATTTTTAAAAATTAAACACTTAGGTATAAATCTAGTAAATTATGTATAGGACTTGAATGTTAAAAACTGTGGAGCACTGTTGAAAGAAATCGAAGATCTAAATGAATGGATAGACATATTATGTTCATGGATTAGAAGAACTCAACAGAGTAAAGATGTCAATTCTCCCAAAATTTATATATGTGTTTAATGTAATTACTATCAATATCCAATCAAATTTTTTTTGTAGAAATAGGCAAAGTAATTCTAAAATTCCCATGCAGGGGGAATTGAAGATGGCAGCATAGGAAAACTGTGAACCCACCTCTGCCTACAGACACAACAAATTTACAACGACATATGGAATAATTTTCCTCTGAAAAGGACCTGACAACTAGATGAATAGCACCTCCAGAAGCAAAACAAAAGCAGTGCATCCAGAAGAGTATGAGAGGCAGAGATACTGGCTTACCCAGGACCCCACCCCAGATGCAGTGACCCCACAATCAGGTGGGATTTAAAAAAAAATGAACTCTTTCTCAAGGAATGAAGAGATTGTGCCCAACATCAGGCACCCCAACCCTGGGGGCTGGCACCAAAAAGACAAGCCCCAAAATGTCTGGTTTTGAAAATCAATGGGGATTAAGAGCAGGAGAATCATAGAACTATAAAGAACAGAGATCCCAATCTTAAAGGGCTCCCACACAAACCCAATTGCTGAGATCCAGTGAGAAAGCAACAGATTGAAAAGCACCTAGTGAGTGAGGCAGACCCACTCACTACTTTGAAATCTACACGTGATAAAACAATACAGAGCTACATGCACACATTATAACAGTGTTAATTTTCTGGTTTTGATCTTCCTTGTCAGGTCACATAATGTGGGGAGGTGACTATCATATCAAGCCACTTGAAAATCACGTGACAACAAAATATGTGAATGATCTCTGTCTCTTATTGCCACCAATCAGTGTGGGACTCAGGAAATTGGGTGAAGTGTCCATAGGACCTCTCTGAACTCTTTTTGCAACTTCCTGTGAATCTGTAATTATTTCAAAATGAAAGTTTTTTGATAAGGACAATGAGACTCACCACAGCTCAAGACTTCTTTTTGAACTTGTTTGAACTTTGCCACCATCTTAGAGGAGAGATCATTAATAGAGTTGATATCTAAGACATAAGCCACACAGTGAATCCTGTCCTTCAGTGATGGAGAGCTGATGAAGGTAGGATGATTGGGCATAATTCGTTTATTGGGGCTCAACTGTTATAGAAACATAAGATAATATTTAGAGAGTCTTTGCTGAGTTCTTTAAGACATATTCATGCTTCAAATGTGACTACCACTAACCTCCAACCCAAAACTGTCCTCCCTCTAGCCACTCTTCACCCAGGTTAATTAGTAGTACCCTTCCATACCTCCTCTCCACTATGAGTGTAATATTATATCTTTCTCTTTTTTTAATATTTTTTATTTATTTATTTGGCAGAGAGAGAGACAGCAAGAGAGGGAACACAAGCAGGGGAATGGGAGAGGAAGAAGCAGGCTTCCTGCTGAGCAAGGAGCCCAATGCAGGGTTTGATCCCAAGACCCTGGGATCATGACCCAAGCCAAAGGCAGATGCTTAACCAACTGAGCCACCCAGGTGCCCCAATATTATATCTTTCTTACAGAAAAACCACTTCATTGAAGTGGCGAAAATGAGAATTACACATACTTTACATTATCCATAATGGAAATATTTCAGGAAGGTACAATGTTTAAAAAGCAATTTCAAATCCCAGTCTCCAGAAAAGAAAGAAAGAAAGAAAGAAAGAAAGAAAGAAAGAAAGAAAGAAAGAAAAAGAAAGAAAGAAAGAGAGAGAGAAAGAAAGAGAGAAAGAAAGAGAAAGAAAGAAAAAGAAAGAAAGAAAGAAAGAAAGAAAGAAAGAAAGAAAGAAAGAAAGAAAGAAAGAAAGAAAAAGAGAAAACTACCATTGGCATTGGTTACACATCATTTAAGACTCCTCTCTAAACATTTTGTGTACTCAAATGGACTAATGGATAGAGAAAAAAGGAGAGGGGAAAATATATTGAAAATGCATTTTTTTAAATAAAATACTATAATTTCTTTAATTTCACAGAAGAAAAAGAAATGAAAATGAAACAGAAGAAATACCAAATTTTAAGTTAGTATCTCCTTACAACAGAACAATAATCTTTCTAGGATTGAGAAGATAGATTTAAAAATACAGTAAAGGGACCTCCCCACAGGGGGAGGCACCTGGGTGGCTCAGTTGGTTAAGTGCCCGCCTTCGGCTCAGGTCATGATCTCAGGGTCCTGGGATCAAGCCCCGCATTGGGCTCCCGGCTCAGCGGGAAGCCTGCTTCTCCCTATCCTTCTGCCTGCCTGTCACCCTGCTTGTGCACTCTCTCTCTGTCAAATAAATAAATAAAATCTCAAAAATTAAAAATATAGTAAAGGGCTACATTCATTATTTTTTACCCATATGTTTCAATGTTGGACTGAACTGACTGCCTCTCTGTTATGAAAAATGAAGGTTTTGGGGCGCCTGGGTGGCTCAGTTGGTTAAGCGACTGCCTTCGGCTCAGGTCATGATCCTGGAGTCCCAGGATCGAGTCCCATATCGGGCTCCCTGCTCAGCAGGGAGTCTGCTTCTCCCTCTGACCCTCCTCCCTCTCATGCTCTCTATCATTCTCTCTCTCTCTCAATAAATAAAAATCTTTAAAAAAAAAAAAATGAAGGTTTCGTAGGCTCACGATTTCTCCCATCTCTCTGCTCTGTTCTACCTCCCTGTATCTTATGTCTCCTTAGATTGTGAGGATAAGAATTACATTCTTAGTCAACTCTGTGTTTCCAGTAACTAGCAAAGTATCTGGCACAAATGAGGTTTTTAATCATGACTTTTTAGTATCTGAGTACATAGTTAAGGTTTCTGATCAAGCACAACTGAGAAGCAATGGAAGTCACTGTTCAGAAATTGAGGCTGATTGTATTATACCCAATGCCTAAAAGAAAGGGGATAATAATGGTTGACCTTTTGAGAATGTAAAGTACATCATCCCATTTATCTTCTCAGGCACCCTATGAAATGGGCATTATTATTACCTACATTTCACACATAAAAAAGTAAGACTTACGGAGACAAGTATGTTACTTGCTTATGGGTGCACATCTAGCTAGTGGCAGAGCCAACCTTTGGATGTTATTTAGGTAGCATTTAAGTAGTGAAACCTAAGTATTTACAGTATAATAATATCACACTTCAACAAAAAGTGGTTAATTGTTCCAAGATTTTGTCTAATTGATCAAAAAAGTGCATGAGATTGAACTATTACTTTCCTATCTATTTTACAATAAAGAGTGAAATAAACACAATCTCCTCCTGTCCTTTTTCTGGGATCTGTATGAGTAAAATGCTGCCTTTTGGCTGTATTTCTTTTCTTTTCTTTCTTTCTTTCTTTTTTTTTTCTTTTGAGATCACCTTATTTTTTTTTAAGTTATCTCCATGCCCAGTGTGGCGCTCAAACTCATGACCCTGAGTTCAAGAGTCACACGTTCTACCAACTGAGCCAGCCAGGCACCCCATTAAGAATTCAATTAAGATTGAGTTCAGAGGCAGATATGAGAATCTTAATGCTGTAGAAAATAAGTTACTCTACTTTACTTATATGAATACTTATTCATTTAAAGCAGAGTAGTGTTGGTTGATGTTGAAAACACTATGACAGTTGAAACTGCCTTATGGGGTAAAATTTAAAAATAATTGATGAAACTGATTTTAAATGTTTTAGAGATTGGAGAATTCTTACCTGATTATCTGTCTGGCACACAGCCTTTTAAGATGTAGGGTATGTAATCCACACACAAACCTTACTCCTTCTTTCTCATGTAGGCCCATGGAGTGACACAACCTAAATGGCAGACATTTGCCATCTTTCCCATCTTTAATAGGATATATCCTATACTATAAAACAAAGTATATCAAAGGTAAAAATTCATTCTTCAACTAGCATTCAAGACATGACAAAAGGAAGAACAGAAAATGGCTAATATTTTAACACTGTGGTCCTCAAACATTTTGGTCTCAGGATCACCTGATATTCTTAAAAATTATTGAGAATCTCAAAGATATTTTATGTATGTAGGTTATATCTATTGATATTTAACATACTAAAAATTTTAAACAAAAAAATTTAAATATTAAAATACAATTATGAATCTATTGCAATGTTAACCTAAAGGACATTTTTATGAAAAAATTATTTCCAAAAAAATATTAAAAAGAGCAGGATCAATTTACTTTTTGCAATTCTCTTTACTATCTGGATTAATAGAAGATGGCAGGATTCTCATATCTGCCTCTGAATTCAATCTATTGTGATATATCATTTTGGTTGAAGTGTATGAAGAAAATCTAGCCTTATATATATATAGTAGTAGGAAAAGGAGAGAGTATTTAATTTAACAGCTTTCAGAGAATTGTGGATATTCCTCATTAATAATGCATCAAACCTCAATAAGTGATAATTTATCCAAAGGTTAGCTAGGATCTGTGACATTTTCATACCCAGCTACATTAAATTCATTGATCTATCTTATGATCTGAATATATTTTTTATTCATGCATGACTTACAAACCCAATGCATTTGGTCATTTGAAAATATTGGATCTAGATAAGATCTTCCAAACACTGGCACATTTCACCACACAATATTAAAACATCATATTTGTTACTAGCACCATTAATCTCATCAGGTAAGTTTTTAAGTATTGAGAAGTTATGAACCTCAAAGTGGTGGATCCAAGTTTCCCAACGTTCTAATTTTTGTTTTCTTAAAAGTTCAAATATTATCATTGGCAACAAACATTGCTGGTTGGTTGTTTTTCTTGTAGTGATATGCTAACTTTGTGCATTGTCCATAAATGTCTACCGAATACCTAAGTATGAATAATCAAGTCTGTCAATTGTTTTCTCATTTATAAAGGACGTTACATGAAAAAAGTTCAGCTCACAACTCAATCGCACCAGTGTCTTTTCTTGACAACCACCATATCTTGATATGCCTTAGAAACCCTTTGTATGTATTTCCCATTTCATCACACAAAATATATATATATAATAATAAAAAATTGAGTTTAAATAAAATCAATGGTTGTTACTTAGTCATCAATTACATTCTTAAATGAAACTAGCATTTTGTTTACTGCAAGTGCTAGGAACGTATATAGCGACTACTAATAAAGCTTGGTGCCATTGCTTGATTCATGCTAAGGCGCCACCCAACAAATAAAACTACATGTGTATGATCAGTTCAAATGTCAATACTCTAGATAAAGCAAAGCCATCTAAGCATTATTACACAAATAATTTTAAACTCATAGATCCCATAAAATGCCCTCAGGGACTCTTAGGGGTCTACAAACCCCACTTTGAGAAGCTCCACTTTAACAAATCTTCTTTCCTAAATAAAAACACTCATTGTGATCCCAAGAGTATTTTTCAGAACTCTGCAAAATTTTTATTGGTCAAATATACTTCCACAGAGGCATAACTATGGAACACTCAGGAAGATTCACAAGGAGAAGTACTTCTCAATGATACCAGACAACACTTGAATCACGAATCTCCCATTCCACACTAGGCAGTTGAGAAGCCCTCTACTACCTATTGTAATCTGTACTGGAGTCAAAAGCTCCCATTGGTCCATAAGTCCAATGCCCAGGAGCAATCCCATTAGTATTTTGATCTAAATGAACAGGACTTACTGGTGCCTCCACCTGAAAGGACTTACACTGATGCAGTAGAGTTACACACTTAAAGTGCATTGTAAAATTTCGAGATCAATAGGCACATTCATAGTTTTCATTAATCTGTTTACTTCATAAATTTAATTCTTCAGAGGCGCCTGGGTGGCTCAGTCGGTTAAGCATCTGCCTTCGGCTCAGGTCCTGATCCCAGGGTCCTGGGATCGAGCCCCAAGCCCCGCGTCAGGCTCCCTACTCAGCAGGGGAGCCTGCTTCTCCCTCTCCCTCTGCCGCTCCCCTGCTTGTGCGCTCTCTCTCTCTGTCAAATAAATAAATAAAATCTTTTAAAAAAATTTAATTCTTCAAAGAGAAGGGTCTCTGAGAAATGAAATAAAATACTCTGTTTCCCCAACAAATATTCTGTCTTGTATTCCTTCAGTTTACATAGTAGTATTTGCATTTCATTTGGACCTAAAGATCTACATCTTCTCTTAGAGCAATGCCTTTGGAGCTTTCAACATGAAAAGGAGGGAGATAGAGCCTGTCCTGATGAGTACCTCCATTACAGCACCTATCACATTGAATAGTACTTATTTCTTTATTACTTACACTGAAATCCCTGAGTAAAAAGACCAGCTCTCATTTGTATTTAGGTCTTTATTGCCAACACAATATTTCACAAATAGAAACATTTCAATCAATGCTTAGTGTATTGAAGTGCCGTTGCAGTACCTTGCTTTGGCTTCTGAGACTAGGCTAAGATACCAAAATAAAGTCAGTCAAACAGATTGAATCTAGCCAACATCAAGAAATAAGATGTGATTCTTGAAAGTCTTAGAAAATGTTTTCAGCTATTAAATGTGACACAAAACTAAAATGAACCATTATTGTCTTATGCTAAATTTTGCATTGACAGTGCACTCATATTTCCAATCAGAAGATAACAATATTTGCTTGTAGCAATCACAGAAAAATACAGCTTGATGATGAAATGTTCTATTCATTCCCCTTAATTTTTTTATTTGATTGTGTAACATTGACAAGCATAGAAGGGAAATAAGTTTTTCCACAGTAATTTGTAGATCTAAAGTAACAGTTTTAAAAATGGTATTAGTACTTACATTTGTTTACAAATAAGATAGTGTTTGTAGGATCACTGATAAATTTACCCTTTGAAGGTTGACCCACCAAAGTGAATTGCTGTCTTGCTTTTCACAATCATTTCTTATAAAATGGTCTTGTAAAATGGACAAGTGTTATAATACATAATTTTCATTATTTTATTACAAAAAAAAAGAAAAGAATTTCAATCCAGGTAAAACCATGTGGAACATAAGTAAAAACAGACTTCTAATATAATGGACAAAGATTTCCACAAAGTTTTTAAAATTTTAGTGCTATTTTTTTTACAAGTACCAAAAAGCATTCTTCATATAACTGCTTCTTGCATGCATAAAAATGAAAAGTGAAACACAACGGAGGGAATTCTGAATCAAATTTTACTCCTTTTTTACATTTGATTTAGCATTTAATTGCTTGTAGATCAGGAAGAGGTTAATGTTCTAAGAGAAAACGGCAAAGAAATGAACAAACCTGATAATTGTAATTGATAAAACAAAATCCTCAGGAAATCCTTAAATAACTTACCTGTTAAGTAATGCTGGTGACATCAGACGCCACTGTGGCTTGGTGAGTCACACGGCCTCGGAAAACAGACTTCACTGAATTGATAAAACTAGACTTTCCAGACCCAAATGGACCCAGCAAGAGAATACGAATTTCTGAAATAAAGTCTACACAGGGCTTGTAGGCTCTGAGTTCGGCTAGCAGTGGATTTCTGTGCCTGTCAAATAATACGCGGTAGGTACTTAAAGACAAGAGCCAAACTTCCACAGGAACAGCACAATTCTGCTGCTTCTTTCCTTCCTTTTAAAAGTATGTTTTAATTACTTCTTATCTTGGCATTAACATCTATCATATGATTTGAAATGGTCTAAGGTTATGCATTTTGTACTTGAAGAAAATGCGTTTATCTATATCTGAGTAAAGAAACATTAACCAGCAACCAAATCAGTGTTAAACTACGAACCTTAGACCACACAAATCTACCAATAGCAGTAACAATGAAGATGAGTATTATTTCAGTAATAATATTATATTAAGGAGAAATAAAATATATGCAATACAGATATTTATCTATAAATTGGGGAAAGGGGGCTTTGTTTTTAAAACTTACTGAAATTCCCCCAAAAAACTTTATTCCCAGGGAAAGGCTTCGGACGAATTATCTGAAATAGTCGTCTAGACCCTTCTGTCTGGAAAAAGTTGTCTAGACCTTTCTGTCTGGAAAACTTTGAATCTAGCAAGTCCAAAGAGAAACATAAAGCCAAACTATTGCCTGGTAGATTTTTAAAGGTTCACAGTTGGTAGTGATTTTGTCTCTGTTGTTGCCATAATTGCCTCGAACGTATTACATAAGTAACATTATAACTCATTTTTATCACTCCAAGTTATATGATTTTTATTTTACTATTTCATTTCCAATGCCATTTATAGCAGTGTTCTAAATAAAATGAGTAATAGATAGTCCAAGAACCTAACTTACTTCATGGCTCTTGTTATCTTGCTTATGTAGTTCGTATCATCCTCAGTTTCTGTAGGAAATAAACATAGCATAATAAGCTTTTTAACTTGCCTGGCTAAATACGCCCAAGTCTAACTTCTAAATGAGGCAGAAAGTCTGCTTATATAAACCAGGGCTGAGCTGTCCAGTTGGGAGTTAGGGTTGGCAACATCATGCGAAGAGAAGGGAAAATTAACCTCCCTGCACAGTAACTCACTCTGGAAACTCTCATATAACTATCCCTACAGATCCTAGAGCTGACCCCAAAAGGGGTCACTGTGCCAACATAAACCCCACCCTCACTGGCTCTCCCTCTCCATGTCTCCACTTCTCCTTCTCAACTCATTTTGCTCAAAGCTGACTATACTTTCTGAGTAATACCTCATAACTTTTATGCTTCCTAGGTTTCATTTTGAAGTTTATGAAAGAGAAATTTGATGGCATGAAATCTGATGTTCCTCTCATTTTTCCTTGTTCTTGCAGCTAAATTATGACCACAAACACAAAGAAAGACTAGAATCAGAATGTAGGATTATCTAAGTTAACATACTTTCAACTCAAAAAACTTCACATTCCAAATACTGGATGTCAGACAGGATATATACCCCTAAAGCTTTGCTTAATGAAGCATCCTAGAAAGTCTGTTTTTGCCTGGATCTACAGACAACATCTCTTGGCTAAAGGAATAAAATACCAGTTATCCAGAAGCAATTTTTGTTTCTGTTTCTAAAACTGCAGTTGTCATTTCAGTTGCATTATTCTTTTGAAATGAAAAACAGAAGGAGGGATTGTGCCTTTTTAAATGGTCAGACATTTCAGGATAATGCCCAAGCATAAAGACCACAAAAGTAGTCTTTATATTAAAGTAAATTATTGTTACAGTAAGTCCCTGACAAGTGCACCTAGCAAGCATATCAGAAATGTTACTGTCGTGGACACTAGACTTATAAATAAGTCTCAAGGACACATTCCCAAGCATCTTCTGCAGACTTTTCTCCTCACTCCATGTCAATCTGGTTGTCACTGCCATTGTTCTGTATCTGATAGAAAAACAATAATAGATTGAGAGGCCAGTTAGTATATCGTAGTGGTTTAAAGCACAGATTTCTGCTTCTAGCTTCAGCATGTTATTTTTTTTTCCCCTCTGGCCCAAATAAAACATGTTATTTGTTTATACACAAGGCAAAAAAAAAAAAATATATATATATATATATATATATATGGAACAATAGTAGGTACCTATAAAAAAATAGATAATTTAGAAATAAAAAATACCATTACATTTTTTAAAGTCAGCAGGCAAATAAATGGAAGCCTCGGTAAAGAATAAAGTAAAATTAATAAATCAGAACAGTGATCAGCAAACTTTTTTCTTAATGACAGAGAGTAAATATTTTAGGCTTTGTGGGCCATATGGTCTCTGCCCTAATGACTCAACTTTGCCAATGTGACACAAAAACGGAGACAATATATGAACAAATGGGCATGACTATGTTCCAATAAAGCCTTTTTTATCAAAACAGGTTGGTGTCACACAGACCATAGTTGGTCAACCCATGAATTAGAAGGTAGGAGAAAGGAATTTATACAGAAAACAGTTCCCAAAGGAAGAAACTGACATACGAAAGGAGTTACCAGACATCGAGGTCCTACAGCAGCAGAATAAACCATGAGCCATCATGCCAATTCTTTCAATGAGAAAAATGAGAACACAGGGTGAACTGTAAATACATGTATTTGAAAGCATTGGAGGGCTAAGATTTGGAAAAGAAGTGAACACTGAGAGGTAAGCTTGGCATTTGGGAGCACATTTCTCTAAGGAGCATCTGTTAGCTTTAGAAGAGGTGCCAGAGATGCTGAGATGTTGGGCAAAACTTCTGCTGGACTCCCAGAGCTAGGGGAACAGAGCACAGCAAAGCGGATGCCTTGGCAACCATCCTCTCAGGCCGTGGGCAAGGAGAGGGAGAGAGTTAGCAAGCCAGAAAGAGAACACAGGTCGGGGGGAGGAGCAGAGGGGGCAGGAGAAGCAGGGGCCCCCCCGCCCCCCCGCTCACTGAGCAGGGAGCCTGAGAACTTGGGGGCGGGGGTGGGAGGGCTCAATCCTGGGACTCCAGGATCTTGAGCTGAGCTGAAGGCAGTTGCTTAACTGACTGAGCCACCCAGGAGCCTCCGTGGGCAAGGATTCTGAAGAGCTACAGGGAAGAAGGAAGCGTGGGCTGGAAATGGACAGACTTAACTCCATCTCTAAGTAATTTCAGTCTATGATTGGGTTAGTATAAATGAAGTTTGCTTTTGCCCCCAGCTGCATGGCAGATGCAAAACCGATCTTGTTTAGACGAAGAAAACATCTTTCTAGGTTCAATTTTTTTTATATTCAGTGACTCATATTCATCATAAACACAAGAGAGGAAATGAAACAAAAGGATAGAAAACCAAGAGAAAAAAGCAGAACACAGAAATAAACCCATGCTGTTTATTCATTTGTTTTGTTTTTTAGATTCCACATGTAAGAGAAATCAGATGGCATTTTTCTTTCTGACTTATTTCACTTATCATAATCCCTTCGAGATCCATCCATGTTGTCCCAAATGGCAAGATCTCATCCTTTTTTATGGCTGAGCAATATTACTCTGTGTGTGTGTGTGTGTGTATCTCACATCTAATGGAAAAACTGTCTCTAATGGAAAAGCAGTCAAAGTATATGAAGAAGACATTCACAGACGAAGTAACTCAAATGAATTATAAACATACAAAAAATGTTCAACCATTCTAGAAACAGAGAACTGTAAATTAAAGAATGAGATATCATTTCACATCAAACAAAATTCCAGCAATACCAACTTGACCCGGACATGGAGATTCAATAATATTCACATTATTTTGAGAGACACACATCATTTTGGGGAACAAGTACATTCATAGCAGCATTGTTTAGGATGACATTAGAAGATTGCATGTACAAACTTTGGCATACTCACACAATGAAATACTAAAGATCATTAAAGTGACTGAACTAGACCTATTTGTATCAACATTGATAAAGCTCAAAAAATTAATCCTGAGTGGAAAAAAGCAAGTTGAGAATGATACACTTAGTATGATATTATTTAAATAAACTGTTGGGGTGCCTGGGTGGCTCAGTCATTAAGCATCTGCCTTCAGCTCAGGTCATGGTCCCAGGGTCCTGGGATCGAGCCCCACATTAGGCTCCCTGCTCGGCAAGGAGCCTGCTTCTCCCTCTCCCACTCCCCCTGCTTGTGTTCCCTTTCTCGCTGTCTCTCTCTGTCTCTCTCTCTATCAAATAAATAAATAAATCTTTTAAAAATAAAAAAATAAAAATAAACTGTTAACACAAAGCTATACTCGAGATCATGTTTAGATACATACGTATATACAGCAAACGCATAAAAACCAGCAAAACAATACTTTATCCCAAAGTCTGGATAATATTTCCTTAGGGGGAAGGAAGGGAAAAGAAAGGAATGTAGGAGAGATTCACAGAAAACTTCAACATTATCTGTAATGCTTTTGTTTTTCAGGGGTAAAAAACAATTCCAATTTGATAAACCAAGTCATTTTTAAAAATCTGATAGAACTGAGTGAGATTACACTGGAGTTTACTTACTCTCTGGAGTTCCCTGTGTTTGAAATATTCATTAAAAACAAAACAAATAAAAGGGGAAATTATGATCATTAGCAGCAAGTTTCCTCTGAAATTCTTTTTCAAAAGAAAGGCAAACAAGCAATTTTCTTTACACACAGCTAGGAAACATTGGATGGCAAAAAGTCACTTACCTGTTTTTTAAGAGTTGGATTGAGCTTACATGTGGTGTTAGCTGTTCTGTTTCATGTATCCAGCAGCCCCAGTTTGGAGACTGGAAGGTTCTGCTGAGATTTGTGGCTTCCTGTTTGAAAGAAAGGAAAGTGAAACTCAAAGCAGCAATCAGCAGGCAGCATGAGACCTGTCATTTTCTTTTACCTTGCTAGAAACGAAGAGACAGAGAAAACGAAAAGGAAAAAAAAAAAAAAAAGATTTCTGCCAAACACATGAGAAAGATCTTTGGTCCCCTCTGTAGCCTTATGTAGGCATGCATGAAATGGCAATTAATAAAAAAACCTGCACTAAAACTAATAGCTAACATTTCTTTACATTTAACTATGGACTTGCCACTGTGCAACTGTATGCATTTTCCTCATTTCTTCTGGAAACAATCTCATACAGTAATCACTCTTAGTATCTTTATTTCTCAAAGTATGCAAACGAAACTTAAGGACATTAGGTGACTTTGGCCAAACTAATTCCGCGAGCAGAGGGGTGGCACTGGCTGGTATTCAAAACCAAGTCTTTCTGCATGGGAACAAACAGATGAGGATTTGACTTCTCCAGAATTCATTTATAAGGCAGTGCACAGCTTCGTTTCACATTTACACATTCAATCATTCAACACAGGCTTAGACCCTGGGGAAGGATAATACTGAGTAAGATAAAAACACTGCCCTCACATCGCATGTTGTGTGCTCAGGGAGACTGTCAGGTACACAGACAGTTATATTCGTGTCCTACGTGCTACAAAAGGGGTAAAAACCAGATCCCCTGGGCACCAGGATGACAGTGGACTCACCCAGGCTTAGGGCACTAGTAAAAGCTAGCAAATCAAAGTTTAGACTGAGACACGAAGTTGTAGGGAAGGAAGAAATTTCCTTCTTCCCTCCAAGGTTTTTCCAGCTGGTTTAGGAACTAAACTGACATGAGACAGATTAACAAAAGGAAAAAACAAAGTTTTAGGATATGTACATGGAGGCCCAATAATAAAATTGAGACCCGAAGAAATGACAAAGGCAGGCAGTTTTTATACAATTTAGACAAAGAGACAATAAATTCGTGAGAACTTGGCAGGATAAAGAAAAGAGATGTTTGGGAACTTTCATTAGTAAGGAATTCTAAGTGGAATTTGGGCTGAGGTAGCTATAGATCTATAGATTGGTACACACACACATATACACACATACAAACACACACACTGAGGTTTATTTCTACGCTTTCTTGGCTTTAAAGTCCCTCTTTTTGGTGATAAGGGTGTCTTTTTACTTCTTAGTACAGGGAGGATATTTTTCATGTAAGAGATTTATTTCCTGCTTTCTGGGGGTCAGAGAAGGTCTAAGTGCACCAACTGTTTCCCAAGTAGCTTCAATTCAAAATAATCAATATGTCATTGTGGTACCTTTGGGGGCAGCCCACCTTGGGCCCCTACAAAGTACAAGGAAGAAGTGAAGCAAGAGAGAGCACAGTGTCATCAGGGACCTCCAAGGATTTTAGACTGCCTGGAATGGACTGACATCATCAAACTGGCAAGCAATGAGGCTAGGGAAGTGATTAGGATTTTAAAAGTCTTTATTTAAGTTGGATTTTATCATGAAGACAATATGAAGATTCTAAAGGCAGAAGAATGGCATGATCAAAATTCAAAGTCTTAGGAAGAAGAGTTAGTTTTTTCTTGCTTTGTAACAAATATCATAAACCTAGAGGCTTTAAAACAACTCACATTCATTATGGCACAGTTTTCATGGATCAAGAAACCCAGCATGGTTCAAATGAATTTTTTGCTCAGGGTGCCTCACTCAAGGCATCGGCCAACTGTGGTCCCATCTTTCTCTGGGAAAGAATCTGATGCAAAGCTTATTTAGGCTACTGGCAGAATTCAGTTCTTTGTAAGTGTAAGACTGAGGTCCCCTTTTCTTTGCTGATTGCCAGCCTGAGGCTACTCTCAGCTCCTAGTCGTTGCTCTCAGTTTCTTGACAACAGCCTTTGCACTCATCTTATACAAGATGGCAGCAACAGAATCCTCCAAGGTCAGCAGCAGAATCTTCCCTATGTCAAATCTCCTTCATGCCTTGAGTCTCTGCCTTCAGAAAGAGTCCCTTTCTTTTAATGGCTCACCTAATTTTTTCAAGATAATCTCTTTCTTAAAGACAATAAATGAATCATGGAAGTGATATCCGATCATCTTCAGATTTCTGCCGCACTCAAGG